AAGGCAATTATCACATGTACTCATTCATAGGTGTGCTTTAAACATAAAGCAAAGAAAATTAGCCGACAAGCCACAGTCCCAGAGAACTTAGACAACAATGAGGACACTAAGAGGGACTTACATAGATCTAATCTACATGGGAAGTAGAAAGTATAAAAAGACAAGATCTCCTGAGTAAATTGGGAGCATGGGGACCTTAGGGGGGTATTGAAGTGGAGAGGGGAGAGGCAAGGAGGGGAGCAGAGAAAAATGTAGGGCTCGATAAATATCAATAAAAAAATTTTAAAACAAGAGGGAAAAAACATGCAAAAAAAGTACTTAACATAAAAGAGGGCTGGGAAGCCTGATAAGGGGGTGAGCACTTGTGGTCTTGAAGTTTCAATTACTTAGAATGATAGCATAGGAGTCACTTGAGCCCAGGAATTTGAGGCTAGCCTAGCTAACTTTGTGAGAAATCACCTAAAAGTAAGAAAAGAGGAGGCAGAGATTCAGACCTCTAAGCCCTTCTTAAGAGTGGGTGTAGCTCTTATTCTTCATCAAATAAGCTTTTTGTTTGTTTGTTTTTGTTTATCGATGCAGGCTTTCTCTGTGTAATAGCCCTAGCTGTCCTGGAACTCGCTCTGTAGACCAGGCTGGCCTCAAACTCACAGAGATCCGCCTGCCTCTGCCTCCTGAGTACTGTGATTAAAGGTGTACACCACCACCACGCAGTAAAAATAACTTACGTTTTGCATCAGATGGAGATGATTACAGAAAGCAGGAACTTGTCAAAATACAGAAAACAACTGACTTTGGGGTACCCAGCCCCAGTTACTACATCTATAACATAACATTTACACTGAAGGTTCAGAGAACAGCACAGAGGGGCAGAAAAAAATTGTAAAAGCCGGAGAACTAGGAAGGTGATACAATATTGTGTCTTCTATATATGACAGGGAGACTACACCCTTGAAATCTCAACAATATGGATTCCTAAACAAGACCTGAACAATGGCAACACAACTTGGCATGCTAAGTTTAAAGATAATAATATATATGCATATAAACAATACAAATGGATTTAGAAGATTACATTTATATATTTATATGTGTAGTAATATAAATAAGAGGGCATGAATTTGAAAGGGAGGGAGGAAATGGGAGGGGTTGGAGGAAGGGGGAAAATATGTAACTACATTTCTTTTGTTTTTTTCAAGACAGGGTTTCTTTATGTAGCACTGAACTCCCTCTGTAGACCAGGCTGGCCTTGAATTCAGAGATCCTCCTGACTCTCCCTCCCAAGTGCTGAGATTAAAGGCTTGCACCATCACTGCCCAAATATCATAATTTTGACACATGTACATAAAACTATAAATGATGGAATACCCTCTTTGACCAGGTTACTTAATATGCGTAAACCTCAGATCTGCTATCTGGAAATAATAATCTTTACCTCATATAACTGTTGCCAAAATTAAATAAAATAGTAAGATTTTTTTTCTTTTTTACAGGACTTCTGGAAGAACAGCCAGTGCTCTTAACCAGAGCCATCTCTCCTAAAATAGTAGGAATTTATACAAGTGTTCAATTAAATTTTAATTTTATGATAAATGCAAAGTATATAATCCCATTGTTACTAACTATACTAAAACACCTCAACTACAAATTCCTCTATAGTTAAATTTTCAGAAACTTAACAGCATAGTGAGGAAAGACCACATAAAGCTAAGAGATAGTGGCAATTGATAAACATAGAAGAAAAATAGGAAATAGAAACTTGCTATTTGAGGCAAAAGGATCAAAAGTTCAAGGCCAGCTTGGGCCAACAAGTTCCAGATCAATCTCACAAAAAGAAACAAAACCAGAATGCCATAATTACACTGTAGATTACCTATGTAAATACACCAGAGAGCACCAAAAATTAGTGATTTAAATTCTTAGCGTACTTTACAGTGTCAAAGTACATACTCCTAAGATACATACTAATCTAAAAAGAAAAAAGAATAACTTTATAGTAAGAATAATCTGGTAGATAATACTGTAGTCAAGAGATCAAAATTACACTACCATTAATATGTAGCAACACCATGTATCCCCTGCTATCACAGACTGAGTTATCACTTTTGTGGTAATCTTGCCAAAAATGTGGAGTTTAGCTACCCAACCACGGTAATGCATGTTGTTAATACTAGCATTTAATAAGCAAAAGGATTTTATAATTGTGGTTAATATGGTTTACTTAATGAGTTCTTGGTCTTTGAAGACTATACAGTGAGACCTCATCTCTGAAAGAAAAAGAGAAGAGGAGAAGGGAGAAACTGTTAGTACCCTTTCAAGGAATAACTTAAAGAGGAGGGAGAACATGTAAGTAAGCACAGTATAGAAACGTGAATATGATCATAGAACTGAAAAGAGGAGTTTTTGTGGGGAAACTGAGATACGTTAAGTTCAATATTTTAGTTTATAATATATCTTTGTAACTTGAAAATCACCTGAAAATAAATACAGAAAGAAAAATGATGTAGTAAGAGAGTAGTACTTCTGTTTTTTCTACTTCTAACCTCTCATTTCCTTTGAACAAACCCATACTTAACAACCCTTTCATCTTTGCTAATGCCAATCTCCAAGGCTTCTTCATATACTGACTATAAACTCCTACTATAAGATTTATGAAATCCAGCTGTGTCTGCTTTTTGTGTCTAGAGCACATAGTATAAGTCTGGCACATTGCAAGGAGTGTTTATTTGTTGAGAAACCAAAAAAATAATGACAACTGTATTAGCTTGTATTAATTTATCACTATACTAACAAATTAGCATAAACTTAGTGGATCAAAATACAGACATATTATCTTGAAATGAGAATCAGAAATCTATAGTGAATCACACTAGATTAGAATTCAGACAAGAGCACTGTTTCTTCTGGGGACCCTAGGCAACTGTTTAATTCCTTGCCTTTTCCAGCTTTCTAGACTATCTGCATCCTTTGACTTGGTGACCCAAGTTCTGTAACAGCATCACTCCAAACTCTGCTTTGATTCTTAGATCTTTCTCAAATGATTGCCAACTTACCTGTCTCCTTACAAACACTGGTAATTAGATGAACCAAAATAATTTCCCTATTTCCATCTCTAATAGTCTCATCTACAAAGGTACTTTTAACAATGTAAAGTTCTAAGGATGAAGACATGGACATCTTTGAGTTGTCATTATTCAACCTACTACACATACCAATTTCTTTTTCTTTTTATAAAAAGCCTATGCAACAAATAACTAAAAGCAACCTATACTTAGTGACTGTCTTATTCAATCTTAATTTTGTGGTTTGTTTTCTGTTTCTATTGTTGGTTTTGTTGCTGTTGTTTTGCGGAAGGGTCTCACGTAGTCAAGGATGTCTATGAACTTCTAATCCTCCTGCCACCACCTCCCCAGCACCAGGATTACAGGTATGTGGTATATGTGTGCTGAGATTGAACTCAAAGCTTTGCTCATGCATGTTAGGGCAAGCACTGTGTACTAAACTGAGCCATAATCCCAGTCCCAATCTTAATTTTAAGCATCCCATATAACACTGAACTTTCTCATGAGTTGACTGAGGTTATCAAGGCTTGTTCTCCTTATATTTGACCTACATCTGCCGGAAACTATTCTCATTTTAATACCTTCTATGCTGCTTTCTCCCTCATTTGTCAATAGTACTACACAAAAAAAATCTATCATAGAACAAAATATCTGGTAATTTAGTTGTTCTCCCCATTTTTTTCTTTAATTTTTCCTCACTAAACAAACTTGAGATAACTAACCTCTATAGCTTCTGGTGATTTCACATTGCTGTAAATTTCAAAGGCATGAGGACAGAATATTAATAGAAGTTTTAAAAGAGTAAAGAAAATCTTTACTATTTAGAAAATATATGAATTTCATGTTTTTTGTAAGAAAAAGATAAAGATAGATACTATACTCACTACACTTCTATCATACACTTAATTATGTAGTGCAACAATCAACCAATGAGACATATAAACTCAGTTCTTTTTTTATTTATTTTTAAACTCAGTTCTTAAAATGAGATATGAATGAGAATTTGGGGAATTTCCTGAAACTAATAAAAAAAAATTCCCAAAGAATGTCACAACATAGACTTTTTCTTTTTCAAAACAGGAAAGGAAAGCAAGCATGATGGGTATTTGCCTACGATCTTAGCACTAGAGAGGTTGAGACAGGAAGAACATTAGTTTGAGCCCAGCCTAGGCTACATACAGAATTCAGGGCCAGCTTGGGCTACATTGGAGACTTTGTCTCAAAATGGCAAATGAAAAATGGTAAATATAGAGTGAAAATTAGTTGTATTTCCAAAGGCTGGGTATTTTTTTTTTTATAGCTCAGAGGTAGAGCATTTGCCTAACATGTACAAGGCCCAAAATTTGGTCCAACCATCATAATCTAAATAAGCAAATGAATGAATTAGACAGAGAGAAGCAGAGTATAATTCAACAATAGAATACTTGTATAAGGCTTTGGGTTTATTCCCAGCACTGCAAAAATTAAGATAAAAGTAACTGGGGCTGGAGAGATGGCTCAGAGGTTAAGAGCATTGACTGCTCTTCCAAAGGTCCTGAGTTCAATTCCCAGCAACCACATCGTGGCTCACAACCATCTGTAATGAGGTCTGGTGCCCTCCTCTGGCGTGCGGGCATATATGCAGGCAAAACACTTTACATAATAAATAAACCTTTGAAAAAAAAAGTAACTGACTGGAAATATATCTCACTGGTAGAATTCTTGCCTAAGATGTAAAAAGGCTCCAGATTCCATCCTCAGCATTGCCAAAAAAAAAAAAAAAAGGAAAAACAGGGAAAGATAATTTTTAAAAAGCTTGCCATGGGCTCCTAACAGATTAGAAAGGAACATAAATTCTAGACAACAGTAGAAGGGATCTTCACTTTTCTTCAACCTGGATTACTCTGTCAGTCAAGGCAGCTAAACATGGAATTCATAAAGCCAAGAAAATTATAAACCCACCTGTAGTTCACACCAAGCAACTTCAACCCACGTTTCAGTGTCCAGTCCTTTATATACTGTCTTAAATGCTCCTCTTCCCAGCTCTATATCAAATTTCAGGAACCTGCCACTAGGGGAAGTTGCTACAGCCTTCATTTCTGCTTCTTCTTCCATTTCCTTTTCATTTTTGTCCTTGATGCAATCTTTTGAGGATTCTGAGGTTGCTTTTGAACACTGCTCATATTTAACTTCTTGTCCACCTCTCAGCACATTGGTAGGAAGCTTATCTACTCTTGAAATGTTTGTTGCAGCCTTTATTCTTTCATCTCTAGGGGAAGATTCAGCAACTTTGTCATCTTCAGTCATCTCAACGCTCTTTCGGAAAAATCTCTTTCTTTCAATGGTTTCCCCAGCAGCAGAGAAGGTGCTTGTTTTTTCCTTCATTTTAGCTTCTACAATCAGAGGTGCAGCAATCTGAGCAACCCTGTTTTCAAAGGAAACCCCATCAGGTTTCTCAGAATCTTCTGTGCTAGTTGGCTCCCCAGAATCAGTAGCCATTATAACTAAGGTTGGCACTGAACTTTTTTCCTGTTTCACTCTTCAGTCAGTCCACTTACATCTCAGGAATCAGAATTCTCAGAATACACTTCCTTTTATGTGGTCATATATTCCCATAGCAATCTAAGGGAGGAAAAAAGATAATTTAATGTCACCCTACAACAGAAATCATTAAGGGGAAAACAAGGACCTGATTTTTAATTGCTTCTTTCTTAATAAGTTTATTCTTGTTTCTGTACTACTTAGCAACTAAGACTCCAGGGACTATGCCTTATTTAATATAGCTACAGTGACTAATATAGCACTTGGCATATAGTTCAGTAAGTCTCATATGCAGAAACCTAGTTCTCAGCTCAGCTCAATCCACCAAATTCAATACAGGTATCCAAATCCTGAATTCACTTAGCTATACATAGTAAGTAAAATTGCATGATTTCTATAAGACTTTTGTGTAAGCTTCTAGAAATCATCTAATAGTAGTTTCTTTAATTGTAGTAATATATATGTAGAATCAAATTTCCTATTTAACTATTTTAAGTGTATGGTCACAATGTTTTGCTATCATCACTTGTTGAAATTTTTATCATTTGTGTGAGTTGGTTCTCTCGTGCTACCTTCATGTGAGTTCCAGAAACCAAACTCAAGCTGTCTGCATGGTAAGCACTTTATACACTGAGACATCTTGCTGGTCCTATTATCAATTCAGTTCATTCCCAAAATGATTCATCATCTTAAACCGAAAATCTATACGCATTATAAAAGTGCCCTATCCAACTGAGTGCTATGGAATGCACCTACAGTCTTAGTTAAGTAGGAAGCTGAGGATGGAGAATCACCCAAACATGGAAGTTCCAAGCTGGCATGGACAAGCAACAAAACTAATTTCTAAAACAGAAGAAAAGCAGTTTTTAGGGGACTGAGAATGTGGCTTACTAGGAGATGTATGCTTTGCACATACAAAATTCTATGTTTGATTGCCAGAACTACCAAAAAAAAAATCTTAACCACATCTACCCCCCAATCCACATTCTACTCTCTATTTCTGAATTTTCTTAGTCTAGATAATTCATGTAAGTGGACACATACAGTATTTATGTACGTTTTATTTCACTTGGCATAATGTATTCATTTCTTTTTAAGATTGGCTAATAATACAGAAAAAATATTCAATTATCTCTAGTCACCAGGAAAATTAATATCAAAATTACATCAAAATTACATCCCACCCAACCAAAGTGGCTATCATAAACAAAATGAAACAGAAGTCTGAATAGATGGCTCAGTGTTTAAGAACATTTACTGCTCTTACAGAGGATCCAGTTCAGTTCCCAGAACCCACATGGAAGTTCACAACTATCTGTAACTCCAGTTCCAGGGGTTCCAAAATCTCCTCTGACTTCTCTGGACTCCTGTACCCATGTGGTGCAAACATACACATACATACATACACACACACACACACACACACACACACACACACACACACCAAACAAAATAAATATATTGTTAAAAAGAAAATACAGAACAAATTATGAAGATGGGGGAATTTAAACTAGTCCAGTCACTATGGAACTTAATACAATGGTTCCTCAAAAAATTAAAAATAGAACTACCATATGATCCAACTATAAAGCTTCTGGTATATAAAAAATCAAAGTCAGTTTACTCTACACAAGGTATGGTGGTGTACACTTGTAATATTAGTACTTAGGATGGAGTACCTAAAGTTTGAGGCTGGTCTGGGCTGCATAGTGAGATTGTCTATAATAAATGAGGGAGGAAGGGAGGAGCAGACTTCATCACTCCTTACTACATCATGCATTGATAGTATGCTACTAAGTTATATGCCTTGAATGACACAAAGTTAAAAATAATGTATATCACTTACTTTCAAATGGCTAAACAACAGGAGGCAGAGGGAGGCGGATCTCTGTGAGTTAGAGACCAGCCTGGTCTACCAAGCTAGTTCCAGGACAGGCACCAAAGCCTGTCTCGAAAAAAACAAAAACAAACAAACAAAAAAAAAATGGCTAAACAAATGAAACACCCGTGAGTATTCATGTACCAGTGCATGTGGAAAATAGACGTTGATGTGCATTGTCTTCTTTACTCGTTCATCACTTTTTCTGAGACAGGATCTTACTATTTAGCCCTGTCTGCCAAAAGTATGTAGACTAGGCTAGCATCAAACTTATCACATCTCTGCCGGGCGGTGGTGGCGCACGCCTTTAATCCCAGCACTCGGGAGACAGAGGCAGGTGGATCTCTGTGAGTTTGAAGCCAGCCTGGTCTACAAGAGCTAGTGCCAGGACAGGCTCCAAAACCACAGCGAAACCCTGTCTCGAAAATCCAAAAAAAAAAAAAAAAAACTTACCGCATCTCCATCTTCTGAGACATAAAGAAAGCAGCTACCAATTAGGAATCCAGGTTAACATCATGAACAAGTTTCATTATATTATTTTGCTACTTTTTAAAAAATATGTTTGGGATTTTTTTTTCAATATAAAAATATTTCAGGGAGCTGGAGAAATGCTCTGGTAGTAAAGTACTTGTATGGACACCTAAGTTTAGATCCTCAGCACCCTTGTAGAAGCCAGGTGCAGCAATGCATGCTTGCAATTCCAGGCCTGGGGAGCTGGAGAAGGGATGTGCTGGCTATCTAGCCTAGCCAAATCAGTAAGTCTTAGGCTCAAAATATAAGGTAGAAGGCTGGGTGTGGTGGCATGTGCCTTTAATTCTACAGCTCAGGAGGCAAAGGCAGGCAGATCTTGTAGATTTAAGATCATCCTGGTCAACACAAGTTGTAGGCAGCCAAGACATAGTTAAGACCTTGCCTCAAAAAGAAAAGATGGGCCGGGCGGTGGTGGCACATGCCTTTAATCCCAGCACTTGGGAGGCAGAGGCAGGAGGATCTTTGTGAGTTCGAGGCCCACCTGGTCTACAGAGCTAGTTCCAGGACAGGCTCCAAAGCTACAGAGAAACCCTGTCTCGAAAAACAAAAAAAAAAAAAAAAAAAAAAAAAAAAAAAAAAGAAAAGAAAAGATGGCAAGCAATTAAAGAAGACAATGCACATCAACGTCTATTTTCCACATGCACTGGTACATGAATACTCACGGGTGTTTCATTTGTTTAGCCATTTGAAAGTAAGTGATATACATTATTTTTAACCTTGTGTCATTCAAGGCATATAACTTAGTAGCATACTATCAATGCATGATGTAGTAAGGAGTGATGAAGTCTGCTCCTCCCTTCCCTTCCTCCCTCATTTATTATAGACAATCTCACTATGCAGCCCAGGTGAGAGAATTCAACAATCAGATAAAACTAGATTGCTTAGAAATAGAAATGCGAGTATTAAAACAATAAAGTAAGGGGTTGGTAAAATAGCTCAGTGAATCTGCACACTTGTGCCGATCATAAAACAATTTGCTGGAGTCAGTTCCCTCCTTCTACCAAGTGAGTACTGGGAATTCAATGTGGGTTGTCAAGCTTCACAGCAGGTACTTTTATCTACTGAACCATCTCATGATCTCCTGAATTTTCCTTTATAATCATTTGAGTTGTATGTATAATTCTTGAGAGAAGAGATGGTTCAGAGGTTAAGAACACTGGTTACTCTTCCAAAAGATCTGGGTTCAATTCCCAGCACCCACATGGTGACTCACAACTGTCTATAATGGTAGTTCCATGGAATCTAATACCTCTTCCTAGCCTCGGTGGGCATTAGGCACAAATGTGGTATATGAGCAGACATTTATGCAGAAAAAAACCCATACAAATAAAATAGTAAAAATTTAAAACTATATGTATAAATTCTATATATTTTTCTGAATGTATATTTCACAAGCACAATGCCTTAGGTTTCTAAAGCTATAATAAAACATCAGAAGCAAAAGCAACTTGGATAATAAAGGATCTATTTTACCCTATACTTCCAGGTAACAGTACACCATTGAGGAAAGTCAGACAGAAACCTAGAAGCAAGAACTGATACAGAAACCATGAAGAAATGCTGCTTATTGTATTGCTCCCCACAGCTTGTTCAGCCTGTTTCCTAAAACAATCCAGAACCACCTGCCCAGAGATGGAACCACAGTGAACAGGGCCCTCCCACATATATTATCAATTATGAAAATGCAACACAGACTTGCTCACAGCCAATCTGGTTACTGCATTGTTTTTCAATTGAAGTTTCCCTCTTCCCAGATGATTACAGCTTGCATTAAATTGCTGGGATTAAAGGCGTGTACCACCACTGCCCGGCCAATACCTAGAATATTTAAAGAACTACAAAAACTACCAAAAATCTAAATCATCCAATTAATAAACAGACTAGTGTGAATAAACAGCTTTCAAAAGAATATGAATGGAAAACACACAAAAAAGGAAGTCTGACATCCTCAACAATCACTTAAAACTATATAATCTCGGGGCTGGAGAGATGGCTCAAAGGTTAAGAGCATTGCCTGCTCTTCCAAAGGTTCTAAGTTCAATTCCCAGCAACCACATGGTGGCTCACAACCATTTGTAATGAGGTCTGGTGCCCTCTTCTGGCCTGCAGACATACACGCAAACAGAATATTGTACACAAATAAATAAATAAACAAAGTATTGATTTAAAAAAATAAAAAAAAACCTACATAATCTCACTCAGTTAGAATGGCTATCATCAAGAAATTAAATGCTGGGCTGGGTATGATGTCCCATACTTTTAATCCCAGCACTTGGGAGGTAGAAGCAGAGGTAGTCCATCAAATGAAAAGCAATAAATGTTAAATTTATACTTTCATGATTTTTTAAAGAAAAAGTGAATTTACTCAGTATACTTAAAAGAGTACAGTGGACATGGCAATAATCTCCTACCCCATACTAGATCTTGAATGTAGTCCTCCTGCGACTTCATTTTTTTTTTTTGAGAAAGCCCAACTTCATTTTTTGCACATGAATATTCAATTATCCTGGCAACAACAAGGAAGCACTATTCTTTCCCTGCTGAGTTTTCTTGGCATTCTTATTAAAATTATTTGACCATTAATATTTGAGTTTACTTTTAGACTATCTTCATTTCATTTATCTGTGTATTTTCCCTTATAGTAAGTAGTGCCATACTGTTTTGCTTCTGT